GATGAAGACAATGTATAGAATAGCTTAAGTGAGGTTAGGTTTATTCGCAAACGTCAGAAAGTTGGTAAACAGCGAACCGACAACTTAAAAATGATATGGTTGGACCCTCTAAGAATAAAGAAATCGATGAACTATGGTTCATTTGTTGTTCTTAATTTATTTAAAACTGTATCCTTGTATACGTATATAAATAAATATAATATATTTTTGCAATATTTATAAACTGCTTCCACAGTCAAACCAATAATGCCATGTTACAGAACTTGTATCTATCCTGAACTTTCATTTCCACCTAAAATCGGAGACCCATTAGGATCGATCTGGAATTGATCCCAGACAGTTTCGACAGAAATGTGTATTTGAGCATAGAAAACAAGGCATTGCAACAAGTTACAGTTCGGTTCTGCGGCCTTCATCACTGTTGTGCCAGGCAACGTGGTATGTGGCGCACTCTTTCTAGACAAGTGGTGCTCACTTGTCCCCCTCTCTCTTCCTCGTACACATGGAAATCTAAAAGGGAAAGGGACTTTCGCCAACACTATATGCAAGTAGTTGAACTATGATTTGCTATTGTATACATTATATGCATTGTATACGTGAATATCTAGGCGTATATATTCACCATTGTATACGGGTGTATTATGCATGGTGTATACACTGCGCCCATCACTGCTTATTACTCAGATTACCGCTGTCTCGGTTGCACTGTCAGTACGTGGCAAATCCTTAACAGAACGCCTTTATGGCCTCCTTGATTTTCATAGTTTTCTGCTCTTCCATGTCATCGCTCTATTATGAGGTTATGTTACGAATATCTATTTACATCAAATTGTCCATGCTTTTGATTTTATATCATCTGTTATATCAACCTGAAGTTCCCTACAATCCAAAAAGAAAACATAGCCTTACAATAGGAGAGCACTAAAATGTTAGATAGGCGTCATGTTCACTTTTGTCATCGGTAAAACCCTCAGCGCGGGCAAACCTAGAAGTAACTGGTCAACTTAGGGAATGGCACTATGGTTTTGGTCAAAGTCCGGATACCACTGAACTTCGGACTACTTTTCTTTTGGACAGATCTAAGAGACATTGACGTACCCGGTTAAAGTTTGATAGAAAGAATTTTAGCTTATCAGACCTTACCATGTGCTACGTTCTCTTTGGACAAAACTTAAAATCGCAAATCAAATTATTGGTAAGAGATAATATGACAGATATGACCACATGATAAGTTTCGGTTAAGGTTTTATACCAAGTGCCGGTTCTATGATTGTAGCAAGTACGATTTCCTAGTCAGTTGCGGCTCTTAATGGAAGTGCTAGAGTAAGCATAATGTATGCGGAGATTAGATATGTCTCCCGCACATTCCCTTATCAAAAAATTGCGGCGCTTCAGTTGTAACACGGAATAACGGATAAGCCATTAGGGATATTAACTGATGCATTACAGGTACCTATATCTGACTGTACTTGTTCTACCAGTGGCGTATGTTGAGGATGGTAATGGTTTAGTCTATGGGAACCAACTCTGTCATACATATGGGATACACGGTCCTGTGCATAGCCTCTCAATGTCTAACATGTGCTTTGCTATGTTAGCCTTGTCAGGGGAAATACAACTTAGAATTTTTTCTCATGTTAATCTCAACTATAAATAGTGCTTGTAAAAAGGCAGATAACAATATTTACTTACCAGCATAAATACAATAACAAGAAAGGGGTTAGATAAATATATAACATATTATACGAGGGATGTCTTTTAAGTTTTGCATATGGAAATAAAACAACACGGTAGGTAGCTTGAAATGACTTTATTGTTTTTCGAAGTATTCTCCGCGAAGATTAATACACATCTGCATGCGCTCGAACCAATTTTCGAAGCACTTATTCCACTCGTTGGCTAGCAGGTCCAAAACGGCATTTTTGAATGTGTCAACTGCTTCTTCTGGTGACTGGAACCTTTGACCACGCAGCCTGTTCTTAATTTTCGGGAAAGTAAAGAAATCGTTAGGACTTCCGTTAAATACTGCCTTGTTTTTTGGGCTTTGTGCTAGCTTACAGTGTCTTGGTGGAGGATGATCCTTCTTTCGGGGATGACTTTTGGCAAACAAATGGTGGTATACCAATCCGCAGTAACAGTTCTTTGCTCATTAAGAGGAATTGTTGCAATTTGACACAAATGTCCCGACCATCTTTTTCGAAACACTTCGAGAACGGATGACTTTTGTTGGCTTTTCTTCACCTTGGAACACCCAAACAGCCGACTGTCGTTTATTTTCTGGTTCATAACAGTAAATCCACGATTCATCACCACTAACAATGCTGTAAACATTTTTTGACACCAATTAACCCTGGCTGCTTTCTGCTGTTCAGTCAACAGGTGGGGTATCCAACGAGAAACTAATTTTCTTACTCCAAATTCTTCATGTAAAATTTTTTGAATTGAGGTCTTTGAGATCTTCAAGGACGATTCAATCTCGCGATATGTCACATGTCTATCTTCAATGACGAGTTTGCGCACAGCATCGACGGGCGACTGCCGTTTTTGGTGCACCCACCCAGGGATCGTCCACGTTTGAATTCTTCATACTAACGGGAAATTGTTGACTGATGTGGCGCTTCGTTGCCGAAAACAGACAGTAACTCAGTAAGGCATTCTTGTTGCGATAATTTTGTCTGAAAGTTGTAATAAATCATGGCGCGAAAATGTTCTCGGTTGAGTTCCATTTTTCTAGTTTACTAAAGAGTGAGGTTAAGATTCAGTACTGACGTTCGATACGCGCGGCCTACTATGTTTCTATAAGCAGAACTTAAAAGACATCCCTCATATAAGTTGCCTGTACCACGGACCAGAAATTTTATGTTACAATTGTAGTACAAGTTGCAGATGACGATAGAACTAATCACAAACTGAACTAATGTTTACAGTTACCATTGATTTATTCCTTATCTCTATTCTTGCTATAGAAAATAACTTATTTTAATTTGATTATGAAGCTGTTCCCAAAGTGTAAATCCTTTATATTGCTAGGTAAGTATTTATATTAAACCCTTTTGAAGAATTGAATTTTGTAAGAGACAATTATAACTTCTTTTTAGATATATACAGACTGAAAATCCCAACGTAAACGTCGATCCAAGGATAATTCAAGGTATTTTATATCAGACGCTGTTCATTTGTAGTTTTAGATGGTTTATGGTGAAATAAATAAACTCGTACTAATTGACATATAAAATGCAAATTATTCATTAATTTCCACAATGATCATGTTTTGGCAGTAGAAAATCCCCATGCTGTAAAAAGATAGGTTTTCATTAAATGTTTGGGCTGGCGTGGTAAATGGCATACTTTTTTCCACCTCGACTGACCGGTGAGATTTATTTAGATTTTGTTCGACACAATCTGCCACAGTTAATAGAAGATGTTTCTCTAAACGTGAGACAGAATATGTGGTTCCCACCACACTTTAGACGAGAAGCTTTTGAACATATAAATAATGAGTTTCCAAATAGATGGATGGAGAGCAATGTACCTATGTTTTGGCCTGCTCGCTCCACGGATTTAACGCCTTGCGATTTTTTTCTGTAGGGCTATTTGAAATAGTTGGTGTATCATGATGGAGCAGTAAATACTCTGGAACAACGTTAACAGCGCACTGAAAATGCTTGTGATTTAATTCGAAGCTTGTAAAGAGTCGTGGATGTAACTCTATATTATATAGATAATCTTTAATAATGTAATCTAAATCTCTTATTATGCAACTTTTAGATAGGTGACTTTTGGTATATCAACTTCTTTTGACGACTTCGCTGTTAAAATTAATGGCTCAACTTTGAAAACACCCTGTATATTGGTGGGATGATAAAGTTTTTTAGAACTGAGGGGTATACACCAGATTCAAATGACATACCTGTATGTATTTGAATGGTTTTAATGTATATTCGACTACAAGTTTAAGTTGTTCATATTCAATTCCTTTAAATCCTGGGCCTTTGCGATTCTTCACGCATATTATTGTAGCATATACTTCACTAAAAGTTACTTTATCCAAAATAAGCCATTTTAGTGATGTTTTTTGAATTCGTGTCAAGAGGATATCTTTCGGACGCTAGTTTGTCGAATTTTCACTTATCTGTGATGAATTGTATAAAATAATCGCATATTTTTTGCGTGTATATTATGATTTTTCTTCAACTTGTTCTAAGTTCAATAATAAATTATTTAAGCTGATAATTTATTGTTTCATTACTGATCTCATTAGTAGTAGTCCAAGGTCGTCTGGTATTTTCCTTGTTATCCAATTTCTGTAAAAATTGTACTCATTTGTCTCACTTATAGTCTAAGCTCCAGCTACACTCGAACCTTCGTCATCGGGAATGTTGATAAGAATGGCATCGGGGTGCAGCTGATAAAATGGGCAAAATACAAGACACTAATGCCAGGCGGGCATATTTTGTTGCAAAGCTACTCAATTGCTTATTGAAAGTTTGTGGAATTGATGCAATTGTGATCTAGTTTTGACCGACATTTCAACCAAAAAGGGTATGTTAACGATGGTACTTGTTGGTACTGAAGGTTGAATAAATAATATCAACCTTCCATGTTTCAGTTGAAACTGTTATGTCAAACTGATAGAGGACTGAATTAAGAACCATTCTCAAATGATCAAAATTACGTTTGATGCTTCTTGCGTTCATATATGGTGCACGTTTAATCTTAGATAAGAATTCTTTGTATATGATTATATACATTGAGTTTCCTGAAAAGAATGTACCTCTGACACGAAGATGTATTGAAAAAATTAGCATAGAATAGAATAGTCCAAAGAAACATTCGCTGAAATTCCACCATGTTTTGGGGGCACCCAGACATTTATACGATGATGGTCACTCAAAAGCTATTTAAAATAATTATCTCGGATAGTGAGCATTTATCACTTATGACTTACTTATACTTTTGAGGTAGGTTTTGGTGTGCTTATATAAATCTGAAATTTCTAGTTTCCTACACATCTTCTTCTTCTTCTACGCCTATGCCGGAATTTCCACAGAAGCGCACGACCCCTTCTGACAGATCGATACCTCCGTTCGCACCCGCTGCCACTCTTCTCCAACGCCAGATACGGTTCAGTTCTAGTTCCAGGTTCGTCGCGAGACCAACACAAAGGTAACTAGATCCATATCGAGAAACACCGCCCGGCTTCTTTTGTGCCTCCTCACCACCTCAAGGTTCGTGTTAATCACCGAGACGTCAGCGTTTCATAGTAAGAACTGCACTAATCCTCACATGCTTTTAGTTATTGTTGAGTATGGGTAGTTACTAGGTCACTTTGGCGCTGTCACCCTTCGGAACACTTCCACGACCGATTGAGTGCAATTTTATTAATATCTATAAAACGACAACCAAAACAAATAACAATGACAGTAGTAGTGAAGTAATATTAAAAAAAACACTGCTGTTTTAAAGGTCGCTAGACCTAAATCGAGATACTTCACTGACATTTCTGTGCAATATTCAAGTTTGAGCTTGAGCTCAAAGCGCCACCGTTCTGTGGTAGAAATAGCGCTTATGTCCACATCCGTTAATTATTTATTGGGTATTGGTAGGCCACCTTCGCAGTGGTTAAAGCCTATGAATCTGTGTGGTTGGTGATAAATTACACTTGGAATATTCGACCTAGATTCAATGGTCAATTCTATATTATCCAAAATGACATCCTAAGAAGAAGAATATATAGATTTTTGATTAATGCCATCTTTCTGAAGCTCGAAATTATTCGAGAAACAACACCTGGCATCTTCGTACGATTTAATGAAACGTTATCGGCATCCCTATCTTAAAATTCACCTTAATATGGTTCAAAAGTTGATAAGCCGGTGGTTAATGTCGGACTGATGAATCCATGTACGATTAGCTTAAAAATGGCTACAAGAATACTACTATCCTTCTCAATGACGAGGATTGTATAGTCCTTTCACTGAAACAAAGCATCAGTTACGTCATATTTAATAAATTTGAATGCCAACCTTAATGCAAAACAGATCGTAAGTTGGTAATAGTTTGAATTTCCCTGGTACATTTCTGTTGATAACAGTTTCTGGTTGTGACATTGTCACAAAGTTTGTCAGGTAATTGCGCCAGCGGCTGTCCTTTATTTCTGCTAGTCACTAATACGCTCGGTACTGTAATGTTGGTTGCGGTCTGCTACTGTCACTAGCTCTAGCGTTTACAAACAGTAATGTTGGTTGCGGTAAGGCATCGAAGACATAAAGTAGATTTTTTAAAACGTCCTAGGATCTAGTAGTTTTAATGTGGTAACCAATGCGTCACTGTCATTATTTGACGTTGTGACGTTGCTGCTTTGATTCAGTGAATAAACCATGCATATGTATATTCCTCAAAGATTGAATTACAATTCCAGTCATATCAATAACTTCAAGTTATTCCATGAAACAATTAGGAGTGAATCAAAATCCATTCGTATAGTTTTTCACAATAACAACAAGGCCTGAAAGGCCCATGACTTACAAAGTACAGTACAAAAACTTCTTTTTATATCTTAGTCCCTCTACTCATACTCCATTCTGTAAACCACCCTTCTCCATGCATTTTGGTCCGCAGCCTTTTCTCTCCATGCCGTTACTCCTAACACCCCTATATCCTCATCCGAACTATGCATCCATCTCTTTCTAGGCCTTCCCCTCTTTTTCCTTCATCAGTGTAAATAATGATATAAATAATCTACTAGGCACGAAGACTAGAGATAGGAGGTTAAACTGCCTAACGGATACATGTATTCACATGAAGCCAATCCTGTCGGCAAGGATGGTGTAGCTCTTGGAAATACAGTGGACGTAGTACATAGCGCAGAGCATCTGTGCATTGAAAAATGTCAACATAACCTGTCGCAATCCTTATCTGCATTTCACTCACGTTTTGTCATGCTTTTTAGGCTAATTATCTCGTGATTTATAAACGTAATCCAATATTTCTGCTTGTAACTCGTCCATACTGTCAAAACTGGAGTTTCTTACAGTCATGATGACAGCAACAGAGAGTGATACAGAACGTGAAATTTGTTTTCTGCACACTGTACACTAATGCAAGGTAGCTGCGCAGTGTACCAACTCACGTTATCGACGACATTTTCGGCTCCACGAGTTTAACTTCCTCTCTCCAGTATTCATGAACCTAGGTAAACTAAGTGACATATGAATCCGAACACCCAGTTTACATGGTTTTATTTTAATAAAAGTTGGTGAATGTATTTATCTTACTGTAAATAACAAGTGAAAAAATTTTCAGCCTTATCAGTTGGACATTCCGGTTTTTATACTGCTTTTTTTTAACTGCCTAACGCTCTAAAAATGAATATTTCAGCCGCAGTAAAGAATCAATGTTGGCGGATTTTGGTTCTTGGCATCCTTTACGATCGGTTACGATGCCTAGAGTACGGAGACCTGTACGATTTCGTCAACTTAGTGAGTTTGATAGGGGCCGTATAGTGGGACTTCGGGAAGCTGGACTTTCTTTTCGGGCAATTGCAGTTAGAGTGCAAAGAAGTGTAGACACTGTGATTAGGTGTTGTCAGGCATGGCTTCGAGAAGGCCGTACGCAAAGACCAAGGGGCACTGGACGCCGCCGTAGAACAACAGACCGTGAAGATCGCCGCCTAAGATTATTGGCCTTAAGGGACCGTTTCTCCACTACCAGGTCCATTGCAAATGAATGGTTTGCAGAACACGGAAGACCTATTGGCATGCGAAGTGTTTACCGACGAATGAGAAGTTTTGGCTTGTTTTTATACTGGCCACACTGGGTCTTCCCTTTAACTCGAGAACACCGACGTAATCGCCTTGAGTGGTGCAGACAACGGTCACTCTGGGATCAGGAATGGAACAGTATTGTCTTTAGTGACGAGTCTCGATTTTGTTTAGGCATGCACGATGGTCGTGCCAGGTTTAGAAGGCGACGTGGTGAAAGGAGGAAGACACAGTTTTTTGTTGAAAGACATGTTCATCACACTGTTGGAGTTATGGTTTGGGGTGCTATAGCTTATGGTTCCAGGTCACCTTTAATCTTCATCAGAGATAACATGAACGCGCAGCGTTATATCCACGAAGTTCTAGAACCCCATGTTTTACCCTATCTTGACACCCTGGCAGATCCAACTTTCCAACAAGATAATGCCCGACCACATGTTGCAAGAGTCACAATAGACTTCTTTCAACATAATGATGTCACATTGTTACCATGGCCACCAAGATCTCCCGACTTATCCCCAATTGAGCACGTGTGGGATATGATGGGTAGGAGATTGCTCAATTTGCAACGTCCTCCTCAGAATCTAGAAGCACTTCGAGAGGAGTTGGTGGTTGCTTGGAAAGAGATACCACAGGACATTGACCACCTGATCAGCAGCATGCCTAAGTGCGTTGGAGAATGCGTAGCACATCAGCGTGCATCCACACATTATTAAAGGTCAAAGGGCTTTAAAGCAGTGCAATCATTTTGAAATTTTTATCATTTACTTATTATGCTTCATTGAGTACTTATACAAAATTTTATTAAAATAAAACCATTTAAACTGGGTGTTCGGATTTATATGTCACTTAGTATATTACGTATATATCAGTTTGACAAATAAAAAAAGATTATAAACTACTGAGGAATAAGTGATATTGAGTGTGACTTCTAATATAACCATTCCTTTTTGGTATCCCAATAATCGGCATAACGTTGTAGAACAGTTTCCAATGTCAGCAGAAGGAAGACACAATCATCCAACATTTGCATTTCATGCCGTTTTAATATGGCTTAGTCTCAACCGGCAGGGATATTACGTAACTTGAAAAGCGACATTATATGGGTTTTATTAACATTATGTAGGTTTTCCTACAAGATGTCAACTTGGAACTAGCTGTCGTTTATTTCATGCTCTCTTGTAGCAGGCGTGAAATGAACATGGCATGCATCACCTTTCAAATACACGATCCAATTATGTCGTCATCGGCTTCGTTGTCTTATTTTGAAAGACAAAGTTTGTAACATATTAAAATATTTGTTCACTCAAAGTATTGACGACACTCTAAATTAATCAGGAATTTAAAACTTGCGAAGAAAGTTTCTTACAGAAATCAGATCTTTAAAAACCACCGTCAGTACACCTATTTTCAAAAAATTAAGCATCGTGATCTATACTGTAACCCCATAGTATACTGCACCAAAGCGTTATCAAAATCGATGCAGCCGTTTCGGAGATTACGTAGTTACAAATATACGAACGAATAAAAAAAACTGTCAGACAGAAAGAGAAAGGAAGAAAGATAGTACCTCCCTGTTTTTTATCTGAGAATTATTAGTCATTGACAGGCTGCACACGATCACCTTCTGCCCAAACTACATGGACTTTCCAGAACGGGAAAAGTTGTCATACTTCGTCAATCCTCTTGCGTACGCCCTTGTTTTGAGAAGTCATGTAAAGCAGTGCTCCTTTTCTGATGCAAAGAACATTCACCTAGATTCTCATCTCATGAATGGAGCAGCGAGCAGTCTGATGGATCTGCCGCGGTTGTTGATCCTGACAGTCACTCTGCCGCTTTTTAAAGGAAATACGATTGTATTTATTTTCTTTGGTTGTAGAAAACGGGATGCTAATTCTATATAAATATTACAGAGAATACTCAGATATCTGAAAATTTTGAAATTGTTCGGCGTTGCTCAAAGTGATACAAAGGAAAGGCCATAACTACGTTGACGCTGTTAGTGCGAATCCATTTTCTGAGGAGCTTTATGTACCATGTCCACCATCGATTCTGAATGAAGATCAGGTGGTCTTTTAGAAGTGTGACTTTGATCACGTTGAACATAATCTCTAACATTACTACTTAAGTCATGTGGTAATCAACACCATTGTGCGAATTTGTTGATCATCAAGGCTACAGCAAGATTCTAAAAATGAGTGATATTTGTGTTTCAAAGCCAAGGAGGATCGTTTTTTTTTCTTCTATAAATCCAATTTAAAATAAAAATGTGTATATCTATTCTTGTTCACTGGTGGAGATTAATATACGGCGGATTACGTTTAGATAGATACTTTATTGATGTTTTCGATCATTTAAAAAATGATGTACGATAGGATGGCTGATACATACACTTTACACTTCACTAAGCATAGGAAAACGTACCGTTGCTATGTTTGTCGTATAGAAAAATTACTAAAGTATAT